ACAGAAGTCAAACCCGCTTGGCAGAGCGCGGCGCGCCACTCCGCCGCGGACAAGACGCCCGCAGTAGCGGGCAAGCCCCCACTTGGGTTTGGTCATGGTCGTTGCCAGCTGGGTCTGCGCCGCCGCCTGCGTCGCGGCGTCGGCGACCTCCTGCTGGGCCCAGCTGAAGTCGCTCGGGAGCAGCTTGCCCTTGGTGATCTTACCAGCAGTCTTCTTCATCCGGCCTAGCTGCTGCGTGAGCCCATTGGCGTGCTCCTTGACAGCCGTGGGGAGCTTGTCGATTTCCAGAGAATAGAGCGCCATCTGAAGCTTACGCATGGGCACCATGACCTTGGCTATGGCACGCGTGGCCAGGAGCTTCTGGCCGCGATCCTTATTGTCTTTCTCCTGCTCCTCTTTCTGCCCAGCCTTCTCGCGCGCCCTGCGCTCCTTCTCGGACTCGATCGGAAGAGGGCGCGCAGCCACCCCACTCCCCGAGTCGCTGTCCGGGCGGCTGCTGCTGCTGCGGCCGGATGGCTCAGGCAGCTCCTCAACCTTCGACTTCTCTCCTCCTTTGCAGCCGATGCGGTCGGTGGCGCGCCATCGTCGTTGTGCGTGCGCTTGGCCTTGTCATGCCTTGCGCTTGCCGCTGCTCGCGCCCCCCCGGGCCCTTGCCAATGTGCTTGTCCTTGCCCTTGTCCTTATCATCGGCCTTGTCATTGACCTTGCCCTTGCCTCTGCTCGTGTTCTTGTGGGCGTTCGCGCCCTTGCCTTTGCTCCTGTGCTCGCCCGTGGCCCTCCTGAGCTTGGCGTTGCGTCGTTGCTCGCACCCTTGGCTTTGTCGGCGGCCTTGTGCTCGTCGTTTGTCCTTGTCCTTGGCTTTGGACCTGTCCATGTCCATATCCTTGTTCTTGTCGCTGGCCTTGTCGGCGGCCTTGCTCTGGGACTTGTCCTTGTCGTTGGCCTTGAGGGTGTCCTTGCTCTTGGACTTGTCCTTGTCGGTGTCCTTGCTCTTGGACTCGTCCGTGTCCTCATTGTTACCTTTGACGGTACCCTTGCTCTTGGACTTGCCCCCGTCCGTATCGTTGCCGGCACCCTTGAACTTGGACTTGCCCTTGCCCGTCTCCTGGGAAGAGGGATATAGCAATGCCGATCGCTGGGAAGAGGAGGATAGCGATGTCGATCGCTGCGAGGAAGAGGAGGGGGCGGGATCTGGGTTCAGCTCGCGCGAGAGGGGCAGGCAGTGGCAGCAGGAGCTGACAACGCGAGAAGCGCGAGCAGTCGGAGTGGGGCTGTCACTGCGTTTTTTCGTGCGAGATGGCGAAGTGTCCCACGGAAGACAGCCTGCTGCCGCGGCGTACGCCGGGGCGCTCAGCTGACCACCGCAGAGGACGATGTTGCCGAAAGACGTGGCTCGATCGATGGGCCAACCGCCTGGGGGGGCCCATCCCCCACCCTTCCGCGTCGCTCCTCGTCGCCACGGCTGGGCCCTCGTCGCCGCGTGGGAGAAACGGCACGGGCGAGAGGTAGCCGAACTGCGCACCACCAGATACAGTTCGAAGGATCCAACCTGGTGGGCCAGGGCAGGCCTGGGGGACAGGGGCGTTTTGTTCGCCGCCGCTCTGTGTGCCTCGCAGCGTCGGAGGCCAGGCCAGCAGAATCCAGCAAAATCCTCCTCCTCCTCCTCCTCCTGCTCCTCCTCCTCCTCGTGTTGCTCCTCCTCCTCCTCCTCCTCCTCCTCCTCCTCCTCCACCTCCTCCTCCTCCCTTCGAGCCATTCCTCTCGGGAGGGGGGGCCGAGGTGCGTAGTAGCAATGCTGACGCGAGCCGTCGAGAAGGATGGTGCCCAACCTTATCAGCTGTGACGCTGGGACTAGGCCCCACCAGAGTACGCAGTCGCAGGTGGTCATCCACTTTTCTGTCCCTCCCCCCCTCGTCTCCCCCTGCTTTCCCCCTCTCGCCCCGCCATCAAGATAGCTCCGTACAGTTTCCCCTCCACGGCGAACTCCAGGGGGCTTCGGGGCTCGCCTGCAGTTCACGTGCACGTGCTTCGTGAGCGACCCAGTCAACGTAAAGGACGAGATGGAGCCCAACGTCAGCAGCTGCCACAACAGCGACCAGGCAACCCGAGCGGCGAAGCACGAGCCACACGTCATCGACTACAAAGCGGAGATGGGCGCGGGCGATCGTGCGAGAAGGCAGGCAGTGGGAGAGGGCACTCCTGCTGCAAACGGGGGTCGTGCGAGGCACATCTAAACTACAGTGCAGGGACCAGCTCGTGCGAGAAGGTGCTCGTGGGACAGGTGCTCAGCTACAGTGCGGCAATCGAGTAGCGCAAGAAGGCAGGCAGTGGCAGGAGGCCCTGCTGCTGCAAGGGATGGCGCGAGGCACGTCTCGGCTACAGAGCAGGGATCAGATCTTGCGAGAAGGCACGGCAGAGGCAGCAGGCCATCGTGCTGCATGCGAGAGCGGCGAGCAACGCCAGGCGGCTCTGGATCCACGCTGCGAGAAGGAGGCGAGGCCGGAGCCCTTTGCCATCAGCTCCAGCGCCGGGACCAGGGCGCGCGAGAACGGCGAGCGACAGACGGCTCAGACACCGCAGGGGGACGGACGATTCAATTTCAGCTACAGTGCAAAGACCAGCTCGTACGTGAACATTCATTCCTGTCGGGTCTGCCATGGGGACGGCCCGATGCGACTGGCAAGATCACTGTACGAAACTGGAACGTATACATTACAAATGGCGAGCTGTTTCTTGAATCCCAAGACTTTTTGAGGGTCGGGGACGACGCTGGGGTGGTGTGGTATATATTTTGTTCCCCGATGTCCCGGGAAAACAACGAAACATGTATACACCAGGATCCAGTATACACCAGAATCCGCGATCCTGTGCGAAGTTCAGTGCAGGGTCGGGAAAAGCGTCGGTGCATAGAGTTCGGTTCCCTTCACTGCTGGCCGGCGGCGGGCGGCGTGTCACCAGTCGGCATCGCTCGAATCCGCTCGAGTCTTCCTCCCTCCGCCTCCCCCTCCTCCCCCATTCTCCTCCATCCTCCATCCTCCTCCTCCTCCTCCTCCTCCTCCTCCTCCTCTCCTCCTCCCCCCTCTATCTATCCTCCTCCTCCTCCTCCTCCTCCTCTCCTCTATCCTCTCCATCCTCCTCCCTCTCCTCCTCCTCCTCCTCCTCCTCCCTTCTCCTCCTCCTCCTCCTCCTCCATCCCTCCTCCCCCTCCTCCTCCTCCTCCTCCTCCTCCTCCTCCTCCTCCTCCTCCTCCATCCTCCTCCTCCTCCTCCTCCTCCTCCTCCTCCTCCTCCTCCTCCTCCTCCTCCTCCTCCTCCTCCTCCTCCTCCTCCTCCTCCTCCTCCTCCTCGTGCACCGACGACGCCGCCGCCGCCGACCGCCGACGACCGCCGGCCGACTGACGACTGCCCGCAGGACGGCGTCCTGCGGGCGCCGACCCAGCGCGGCCAGCACGTCCCCGCGCGCGAAGGCGGCGTCCGGGCTGCCGAGCTCCAGCAGGCCGTAGCCGAGGGGCGCGAGCCGCCGCACCTCCGCGGGGAGGGCCGCCGTCAAGAGGAGGGGGAGGGGGAGGAGGAGGAGGAGGAGGAGGAGGAGGAGGAGGAGGAGGAGGAGGAGGAGGAGGAGGAGGAGGAGAGGAGGAGGAGGAGGAGGATGAGGAGGAGGAGGAGGAGGAGGAGGAGGAGGAGGGGAGGAGGCGGAGTAGAGGAGGAGAGGAGGAGGGGGAGGGAGGAGGAGGAGGAGGAGAGAGGAGGAGGAGGAGGAGGAGGAGGAGGAGGGGGAGAGGAGGAGGAGGAGGCGAGCGCGCCGCCGCACCTCGGCGGGGAGGGGCCGTCCAGAGGCCTGTTTTTTCTTTAGATCCAGGCAAGCTTACTTGCATGGCGTCCCCCCCCCTCCCCCTCTCCCCCCTCGCCCCTCTTCAATCGAACACGAGCGTGCAAGTGCCTTTCGACTTGCGTGTTTCCCGCACGTCGAATTGTTTTCGGCTTGCTTCAGACTCAGCCCCCCCCCCCCCGTCCATGCAAGTAAACTTGCCCGAATCCAAAGAAAAACAGGCACCAAGAGGGCGCCGACCTTCCCCCACAGCCCGGCGTCGATGGACCGATCTGTCGAAGCGTTCGGCGTGAAGAGTTTCCATCGTGTCTGTTTCCTTCCATCGGTTGCTCCATCTGCCTAGATTCAGCGAAACAGCTTCCGGGAAACTTTCTTTTTCAGCCTCCAGACAATCGTTTCGGGTTCCGCGACCGTCAACAGCACAATCGGGGGCAAACAACACCCAGGATGAACCCGCGGAGAATTCCGGGGACCGATTTTGAGCGGATTGTGGCCGCACGCTCGTCAGCATTGATCTCGTCGCGTTCGTCGTCGCAGCCGTCGCCGCCATCGGCATCGCCGAGGGCCGCCGCTCGGCGCCGCCGCCGTCGTTGACCTCGTCGGCACCATCGTCGTCGCCGCCCGTTGTCGTCGCCATCGTTCGCGTCGGCGTCGTCGTCGTCGGCGTCATCGTCGACCTCGTCGTCGTGGACTTCGTCGTCGAAGATCTCGCCGTCGGGACCTCTCTAGCCGCGGGCTGAGAAATGATATCGGCGGGTGTCGTCATCGTCGTCGCCGATCAATTTGAACGGGCTACGCCATCTCATATCGTACAATAGAGAAGGGGAACGGGTGGGGAGTGATGGCGGCGGTGGCAGCGATAAGGAAAGATGCCCGATTTCCGTGCCGCAAATGGTACGCCGCCGGTGACGTATGCATATTAAGCGGCGCCGCCTTGAGCCCAGGCGGCGGCGGACGAGCAACGTCAGAGTGATGGGGCCGAACGGTCATTCATTGTCCCTGGGTGCATGGTTGAATCAAAACTTCGTGGTGAGAATTCTGTTTGTTGCGATGTTGAACTCTCACTTCTGAAGAATAACTATTGTTGATCCCCCTCTGCCCAGTGCACATTGTATTCTTTTCGATTGAGGTGCCCCTCCCGGGGCTCGCACCTTGCGTTGTTATCAACGAAAATATTGAGGCTCAAACTGTGTCGTTGGCCCTCAGTTTACAACAACAACGGCTCCCGCCGGATACTTCCTCACAATTTATTGAATAATCGCGTTCTCGCTCGGGACTTCCTTGCAATTGACCACCGAATCGCGGCTCCCGCTCGATACTTCTTGATAATATACTGCAGAATCGCGTTCTCACATGGGACTTCCTCGCAACTTACCACTGGACCGCTTCGCTTGCTATGTCCTCACAATTTATTCAGATGCCGGTCCTCGACGCTCAGGAATCGCGCTCCCGCTACATATTGCCTGGCAGTTCAAGCAGGGCTCACGCTACAACGACCCGCCCGCTCGACCCGCCCGTCGGGGCCTGCCCGCCCGACCAGCCCGTTAATGACTGCAATCGCCGCTCGCTGCCCTTCGCCCGCCTTCGACGCCCCTCGCTGCCCGTACTGGTTCCGCGGTCGCCTTCGCTCGCTGCCCTTCGTAGCCCCTTTGCTGCCCTCATTGGCTCCGTCGCTGCCCTTTGTGGCCCCGCGTTATTTGCCCTTCGTGGCCCCCGCTCGCACGCGCCCGTCGTGGCCCCATACGTATGCCCTTCGTAGCCCCGCTGTCGCCCTTTGTGGCCCCCTCTCTGCCCTTCGTGGCCCCTTTGCTGCCCTGAGTGGCCCCGCCGTATACGAATGCCACTCGTGGCCCCCGCTCGCTGGCGCCCGTCGCGGCCCCATATGCACGCCGATCGTGGCCCCGCTGTCGCCCTTTGTGGCCCCCTCGCTGCCCGCTATGGGTCTGCCCACCCGATTTGCCCGTCTGGTTCTACCACTTGTTTTCTGCTCCTTGCCCCCCTCCTGCTAATTTCTCTCGTGCTCCATTATTCTCCCTCCCCCTTCCACCCGTCTTCTCTTCCCTTGTTTTAGGGGCTGCACTAAGCAGACGTGGCAGGTAATGAAGATATACCCCCAAGGGGGTACGATCGAAGACGACGAGGGCGGGTACCGAGGGTTTGGGATACACGTATTGATTAGCACGTGAGCAGATAGGAGCGAACAATCTCAAAATGACTGTTGTTGGTGTTGTTGATGTTGTTGTTGTTATTGTTTGTTGTCGTCGTCCCACCCGCGACCCACCCGCGACCCACCCCGCGACCCACCAACGACCCGACCCGTGACCCACCCCGCGACTCACCCCGCGACCCACCCGCGACCCACCCCGCGACCTACCCGCGACCCACCCCGCGACTCACCCGCGACCCACCCCGCGACCCATCCGCGACCCATCCGCGACCCACCCGCGATCCACCCCGCGACGCACCCGCGACCCTCAAGGAAGGAAACGCCACCCGGACCCGACAAGTGACGTTTACTAAACGGCCCTGGGCGTTGCCTAAACAGTCCTGCCCTGTTCGACTCAATCCTTGTGTGCGTTTACTCAACGGCTTCGCTTGTCGGGGTGATTATTACGGGGTGGACATTCTGCCCTCTACACCCGCGACCCACCCGCGACCCATCCGCGACCGATCTGCGACCCACCCGCGACCTACCCACATTGGTTCAATGAAAAAATCGGCGCCTGCGGCAGGCTCGTTGTATAATGTGTGAACTCTGGCGCCTCGGGCTAGCTTCTCCAGAGTCTCGCAAACTGCTGACGTCCCCACCGCCCCCTCACTCTTATCCGCATCTGCGGGGTGCTACGCGTATAAATGTCCACCTCGGGGCATTCCCTCAAAGTCGATCAGCTACCATGCCCCCTGGCACGTTGGGGCGTGCTAGAATGCCAGGTGCTGCCCAGTAGGTTTTCTATAATCTTCTAGGGCTCCCCCCCTCTCATCACACTGCCCTGCCCTGCGTGCATCGTCCCCTCTCAAATCCAACAGAGTCACGCTCCCGAGGTCAAGACGCCTGCTAGACGGCCCAGTATGGCTCCATGACGGCCCAATGTGGCCTCAAGACGGCCCAAGATGGCCTCAAGACGGCCCCAAAAGGCCTTCGAGGCGCCCCAAGAAAGCCGCAACAACCTTCCCAAGAGAGGGCCGAGTGGCAAAAATCTGTGATTCCCCTTAAGTAGTTCAATGTGTTTGGGGGTTCTCGCCGATTCGTGCTTCCGACGCCGAAAGACGGCCCAAGATGCCGTCAAGGCTGCCCCAAGACAGCCCAGGCGGCCCCAAAGACGGCCCAAGAAGGTTCAAAGATGCCCCATCCCCCAAGACTGCCCAAGAGGGCCCCTAAGACGGCCCCAAAAATGACCCAAGAGGGGGGACGCGAACCGACAATTCGAGCAGTCCGCCCCATGAGGTCCCAGGAGGCCCCAAGAAGGTTCAACGAAGCCCCGAAGAGGCCCCAGGGGGCCGAGGGGGGCAAAAGCATTGGTTATCCGTTGGTTGTTTCCATGGTTTTGGGGCTCTTGCCTTTCGAGCTTCCGACACTCCAAGACGGCCCACCCAGGAGGCCCCCAAGACTGCCCCGAGACGGCGCAAGAGGCCCCCAAGAGGTCTCCAAGAGGGCCCCAAAACAGGTCCAAGAAGGGCCAAAGAGGGGGGAACCCGAACCGACAATTCGAGCCGTCCGCCACAAGAGGTCCCAAGAGGCACAAAAAAAGTCCCCGACAGGCCCCGAAACGGCCACCGAGAGGCCCAAACGAGGCCCAAAGACTGCCAAGAGGAGGCCGACGAGGGATTCTTAAGACGTGAAGACGAAAGGTTTCACATGCGACGGGATTCCCTGTCCTCCTCTCCACACCACGATCATCATCAGCAGCAGCAGCAGCATCAACAAAATGGCCATCAACACCGCCACAATCATCACCGGCATCAACCACATGATCATTACCAATATCATCCGTGTCATCATCCCCATCACCGTCCTCGCCGTCATGATCATCAGATTAGTCATCACCACCACCAACATCATCATCATCAAAATGATCAGTATGATCAGCATCATCATCAACGTCGTCGCCCTCCTCATCATCATCATCATCATCCTCATCATCATCGTTGTCGTCGTCGCCATCATCAGCAGCATCATCATGATCATCATCATCATCATAACCATCATCATCACCATCACCATCACCATCACCATCACCATCATGATCATCATCATCGTCATCATCATCATCATAATCACCGTCAGCATCATCAGCAGCAACACCATCATCCGCATCAGCATCATCATCATCATCAGCATCATCATCGTCGTCATTATCAGCATCATTCGCATCAGCATCATCAACATCATCATCATCATCAGCAGCATAACCATCACCAACACTACCATCACCATCAGCATCAGCATCATGACCATCACCATCACCAGGACCATTATCATGATCAGCATCATCATCATCATCATCATCATCATCATCATCATCATCATCATCATCATCTGCATCAGCATCAGCATCACCATCATCATCAGCATCAACCGAGGCGTCACACGTGACGGCGTCAAGCACCTTGCTCTCCGAACCCCCACCACGGCCCTACGAAATGCGCGCCACGTGCCACGGCTCCCCGAAGACCAAACATGCAAGGTGTCACACGTTAGGACCTGAGTGCTCCCTCGCGCACAGACCACCGAAAAAACCGAGCTGGCACGGCGGCGGCACCTGCCGCAGGCTGCTGGAGATCTCCGTCATCATACTCACTCGCCCGCCCCAACGATTGGGTGGGCGAGATGCTTACTCGACAGAAGTTGCAGGTTGGTGGCATGAGGGCTCGAGCAGTGGAGCTGGCGATTTCAAATTCTGCACTAACTGCATCCCACATTCTGCGCCACATCAGTTGCACTCCCCGTGGAGTGCTCCTCATGGATCACGCTCCATGGATCGCACCCGATGGATTATGCACCCGATAGGTGGCACCCCACGCCTTCCGCAAACACCACCCTCTGACTGCTCAGAAACACTGCTGGGGAAACCAAGACACCGATACTGCTACTCCCCATACTGCATTCTGACTAGAATTTCGAGGCGGATCCAGCCCTGGCGACGAGGGCCTCCCAGAACGAAAAGGAGAAAACGAAGCAAGGGAAGCGGTACCGGTACTTATTGGTCGGAAGCAGTGGGTAGAAATATGAAGCAACAAGGAAGTGGAAGTGGCTTGGGCTTTCCCGCCAGTCCCCTGAAGAGGGAAGAGGGAAGACCGCCCGAAACCTGAAGTGCGAAGGCGCCATAAGTAGGCTGGAGCTTGGGAAGGCAAGAAGACCTACACGACCGATCGGTAGCTGGGGAAACCGAAAGGTACGGATACCGCTACTCCCTGGACCTCTCCTGGGGTGCGTTCTGACCAGAATTTCGAGGCGAATCCAGCGGTGGCGACGGGGGAAGCCACCCAGGAGGCCCAACAAAGGGAAAACGAGCGCGAGGGGGTAGAGGTATGGGCACCTTTCCCTCCTCGGAGTACCTGCTCCTCCTCCGAACCTCGCTTCGGGAACCCACCCGGTGGCTTCTCGGATCCGGCGAAAGGGGGGGATAGCAAAGGGGGGGGGTTCAGAATCAGCTCACGTAGCTGAGTTTTCCCGCCGCCTCCCGGCGCCGGAGGCGGCCATGTATCGAGGACTGGGCCCCTCGGCGAGGCCGAAACCAGCTGCACGCCGCGAATTTCGTACCCCCCCCCTTTCCCAATCCCCCCCTCCCCCCCGACCCGAGGAACCCAGGAGGAGGAGGAGGAGGAGGAGGAGGAGGAGGAGGAGGAGGAGGAGGAGGAGGCTTCGGGAACCCACCCGGTGGCTTCGGCGGCCGCACCAGCCACGACAGCGACACGCCAGCCATCGGCGCGTTGACGACCATCGGCGCGCCGCCGCCGCGGGCGAGCGACACCTCTGGCAGGTGCGCGCGGGCCTGGGCGCTGCGCGCGGCAGGGAGGCACCCCTTGAGGGGCCTGCTTTCCACCACCAGCACCATAAGTTGGAGGGGGGGGTCCTCATGCCCCTCTGCCTCCTCCTCCTCCTCCACTTCCTCCACAGCACCACCATAATCAGCACCACCATAATCAGCACCACCACCACCATAATCAGGGGGACGTAAGACCTGGGTACAGGGGACTCGGAAATCCCCGACGAGGTCGTCAAAAAGTGACGAGGCCGAGCCTGCATTTTGACGAGGCCTCCCGCTGCAGACATCCCACGAAACTCCTCCTCGTCGAAATTCGAGGCGCGGTCGTCAAAAAACGATGGCGAACCCGAGTCCTGGCAAACCTGGGTCTTACGCTCCCCCGACATAAGTTGGAGGGGGGGGTCCTCATGCCCCTCTTCTTCCTCCTCCTCCTCCTCCACCTCCTCCCCCCCTCCAACGTGTGGTGGTGGTGGTAAACAGGCCCAACGCTCCCCTCCCCGGCTGCCCCTCAAATCTGCCCCTGCCGGTGCCACGAGAGCAGCGACCGTGCACCGCAAGGCGTCTGCATCGCCTGCGGGCCCCGCTCCAGCGCGACACGGTGGACGGCTCGTCGGCCCTGAGGGCCGAACAGCGGTGCACCGGGCCACCGGGGGTCGAGGGTCGACGGCGCCTCGGGGGAGGCCAGCGCGCTGCGGTGCACACGGGCGGCCCGCGGAGACATCACCACCGGCGGGGTTGGGCTCGCTGCCCATCGCCGCCGACAGCCTAAACAGACCTGTGGGCCTACTACGAGATGTTCTCAGAACAAGTGAAGGTTCTAAGAACAGCGAGAACGTTCTAAGATCATCGTAATGCCGACTAGTTAAAACAAGACCGTCTCACCCAGACATGTTCGAAAAACCATGTTCGAAAAACATCACTTGGTGAGAGTGTAGGCGGTCAGGGCGCGTCGCCACTGCTTGAACTTCGGGACGACCACGGGACGTCCGCGGGACAACCACGGGACCGGGCCAAGCGACAACGACGCGGGCGCCGGCCGCTTGGCTCACGAGCACCTCCGCCGAGAGCCCGACAACGGCGTGGACGACGGCGGTGGCGCCGACTCCCTGGTCGGCGCCGTCGCTCGAGGCCTCCTACATGGGGTCCCATCAGATGGGGTCGGAGGATCGGGACGAGTCGCTAATGCGTCGCCGATGCATCGCCGATGCACCGGCGATGCATCGGCGACAACGGCGTGGAGAAAACTGGGCTCTGCATCGAGCCGCATCGTCGATGCATCGGGGATGCGGCGCGATCCTCCGACCCCATCTACTCCGACTCCATCTGGGAGGCCTAATAAAAAACACCAAAATGGTCAACAACTATTCAAAAAATCGTCCCTGACTATTTTTGTCGACTATTTTGGAATATTACTCCTGCAGATGGGGCAGGCCCGACTTGACCCTACGGTCGTCGCCCCAACAGGGACGGCGCGCGCGGGCCTCGTCGCTGTCCAGCAGGGCGTACTCCAGCGGCGGGGGAGGAGGAGGAGACGGGGGAGGAGGAGGAGAAGGAGGAAGAGGAGGAGGAGGAGGAGGAGCGAGGAGCGAGGAGGAGAGGGAGGAGGAGTAGGAGGAGGAGGAGGAGGAGGAGAGGAGGAGGAGGAGGAGGAGGAGGAGGAGGTCGGACTGGCCTCAGTACTCCGGCGGGGGGACGCCCGCGTTGACCTCGACGAGCACCAGCTTCGGGCGCAGGCGCAGGCCCGCCAGGCACTCCTCGACCACCGGGCCCTCGTACGAGTCGAGGTCCACCTTTTGGGGACCAAAGATTTTCTCGGGGAGTCCTCCTCCTCCTCCTCCTCCTCCTCCTCCTCCTCCCCTCCTCCTCCTCCTCCTCTCCTCCTCCTCCTCCTCCCTCCCTCCTCCCTCCTCCCTCCTCCCCCTCCTCCCTCCTCCTCCTCCTCTCCTCCTCCTCCTCCTCCTCCTCCTCCTCCTCCTCCTCCCTCCACCTTGGGGACCCGAGAACTTGTGGCCCCCCAACAAAAATCTCTGGCACCACAAGAACATTAAGCCCTGAAAAAGTGGTTTGGTCCCCCAACCACATTCTTCGGGGCCGCTCGGCCACCCCGAGGTGTCAGAGCGGGGGGCTTCAGCGGCGGCCAGGACGGGCCAAAACTCCCGTGGCCTGCCTGCAGCTGGCATCGGGCATGAGCCCTGGGGACTGTCCAGGCACGACGCGCCTCTCCCCCTGGGAGGCCCTGAGGGGATACAGTCGGACCTGCTACAGAACAGCATCCTTCAAGAACGTGAGGCCCTCCGCCGGCCAAACTGAAGTACATTCGAGGATACTCTCCCCCAGGATGCACCAGAACATCCGACAAGCACGAAAAACAATTGGATACCCTCCTGGCATATGCCTCGATCCTATACCTCGGTCCGACTGTACGGAGCGAGAGCATGCGAGAGTGACATGAAGAGCTTGGCCATCCCTCATTCGGCCCCTTGGCCCTCAAGACCTTGCGCTCGGCACTTCTCGTTCAGCGCCATACGATGATCAACGCGCTACCCGTGGACATTACGTTACGATCTCGTGGCCCAGCTCCACGGGGAATCTGGCAGGTGAGGCATTATTCGTTGGCTTGGCTTGGCTTGGCTTGGCCCTTAGGAGCTCGGCTTTGGCAGATTTTTCGTCACTCATCACTGGCATGGCTGCTCCTGGGCAACCCCTGGCCCTCGTGGTGGCAAAGCGGGCACTCCTCCTGCTCCTCCTCCGACTCCTCCTCCACCTCCAGCTCCTCCGCCGCGTTCCTCAACCCCCATCCCTCATCCTTATGCACAACTCCTTCCCGTCGCACCCCTGGAAGTGTCGGTGGAGCAGCCCGGACGTTTCGCCCGACACTTTTTCACCATTGACGATCCTGAAGCTCGAAATTTGCAACAGCTTCGCGGATGGAGGGGGAGTGGTTTTCAAAATGTAGCTCTCACCTGAATGACACGCGCAATCGACTAAAAGTGTGCAACAATTTCACGGACGGAGGACCGTTCCTTCTTCGGAGTGTGGCTCCCGCCGTGCGCGAGGTACACTCGTCAACATCTGCAACAATTTTACTGATGGCGAAAAACGTGCTCAAAATGCGGTAATCGCCGTAGCACCGCGAACCGTGAAAAGTTTGCAACCAATTCAGGGACGAAACGGGGGTGGCGCTCACAATGGTGTGCTCGACTTCAGGCCGCGCATCCTCGCTCCAGACTTACGGATGGAGAACGGCTCCTCCTCAGAGTGGGGCTCTCGCCCTAGCGCAGCCAAGCATTCGTCTCAAATTCTGTCAAAAGCTTCGAGGATGGAGCACCTGTCGTTTTCACAGTGGGGCTCTCGCATCAGCGCCGCGCGCACTCGTGATTCATCGCACAGTGCGGATACACTGCGGTTCTCTCTTCGACATGGAGCTAGACACCTCCCCGATGCTCATGACCACGAAGGCAAGCCTGTGCACCAGTCACGCGGGTGGAGGGCAGTCTTCCTCGAGAGGGGGACATCGCTGGACACCTCGCTCCACTGTACGATCCCCGTCTTTCGCGGCCCTGGCCACACGACAGCAGGATGCAGGCGGGACCCTCGCCAGAATGGGAGGCCCAACGGTGCTGGTCTTTCAAGGTCGGGGATGGACAGACCCCCCTTTAGCAAAACGTGGTTTAGTGAAAACGACCAGAGGCCCAAATCTGGCGGGCGCAAGCCTGGAAAATAACGACCACGGCGCCCTCTCGAGAACCGAAAACGGACAATTCACTAATCGACGTGTCACTGTTGGGGATTCTGTCCACCCCCGACAAGGGGCCCGTTGCGTCCCACGGAACGAAAGACCTGCAGGGGCGCGTGAGGGAACGTGGGACGGAAAGGGTGCGCTGCAGCATCGCTCGGGCAGCTCGGCTTGCAGGCCTCCGCCTCCTCCTCCTCCTCTGGCCCTGCCTGCTCCTGGCTCCCCCCCTCATGGCCCTCGGGGTGGCCACGCGGCCTCGGGCCTTCAGCACGTCGAGGGCCAGCCGTGCCCCCGAGGCCGCGGGGAAGGCCTCCTCCACGAGGGCGCCGAGGTTCGACGTGGTGAGGCGCGTGCACGCCTGGGAGGACGCCAGCTGCGGCACGTCCGTGCCGTGACAACGCCAGCGTCGGTTTCTAGCACCGCGCGAACCTTTCTGTGAACCGGAAACGATCGCGGCCTGTCCGACCGCGCGGATTCTTCGCTGTCGGCCGGTTATGGGCCACAGGCGGCGTTCAGAGCTGAACGTCCGCGCTGGGGTCGCCGCCGCGAAGACGCGGCGCGAACATGCAGCACTCAAGCAAAAACTGGCCCTGCCGTGGCGACGCGGACGCTGGTATTGGACAGAGCCCGCAAGATCCTACAAAATCCTGCAGGATCCCGCGCCACTCACGTTCGTTTTGGATGCCTCGGACGCCTCCTGGGATGCAATGCGGACGTTTGCCGCATGTGCCTCCCTCGAGGGACGTCTTCAACTTCCACGGCACCCAATAGCTGGGATGTTCATCAGCTACGCGGATGGAGGAAACAAGCAGCACAAACGTTAAAAACTGTCGGAGGTCCGCGCAGATTTCTTGGACCGGCGCTGGACTCCCTCCCCAGCGCGCGGAACGCACCAAAGGCGGCGCCGAAGGGGCGGCGCCGGTGGCGCCGCCATGGGGGGTCCAAGCGCAGATCCGAGAATTCCGCACGGAGCTGCGAAAATCTATGTTATGCAGTGGCCTGCCCCTCGACGAAACACTGATCGATAGGCCTCCCTCGTGGAGGCCGCGTAGATGCGGCCAGAGGATCGCGCCGCATCGTCGATGCATCACCGATGCATCGGTGTTGCATCGGCGATGCATCGGCGACGTCGGCGTGGAGAAAATCTGGCTCCACATCGAGCCGCATCGCCGATGCATCAGCGATGCGGCACGATCACCCCATCTACTCAGACTCCGATCCCATCTGGGAGGCCTAAAAGATCGGCGCGGGTGTGCACCCAGACGTCCAGCCGCTCCAATCTTTCGATGCGTGGGCCCCGCAGGTCTGGACAATTTCCTTGGGGCCGGCTTTTCCGTCCCGAGTCCTTGCTCGACAGTCCCAGGGCCCGTCGAGGGCCCCCAGAGGCCGAAAATTACAAGGACAACAACAATAACAACAACGACAACAACGACAACAACGACAACACCGACAACAACGACAACAACGACAACAACAACAACAACAACAGCAACAGCAACAGCAACAGCAACAACACCAACGACAACAACGACAACAACGACAACGACGAAAACAACAACAACAACAACAACAACAGCAGCAACAACAACAACAACAACAACAACAACAACAACAACAACAACAACAACAACAACAACAACAACAACAACAACAACACCGACACCGACACCGACGCCGACAACAACAACAACACCAACAACAACAACAACAACAACAACAACAACAACAGCAGCAGCAGCAGCAACAACAACAACACCAACACCAACACCAACACCAACAACAACACCAACAACAACAACAACAACACCAACAACAACAACAACAACAACAACAACAACACCGACACCGACACCGACACCGACGCCGACAACAACAACAACAACAACAACAACAACAACAACAACAACAACAACCACAACCACAACCACAACCACAACAACAACAACAAAACACGGCCGCTACAAATTCGTCGAAACATCGGATATCCGGGCAGTTGACGCCCTCCGCGCGCCAGGTGGATCCAGGGCAGGTTTCGCCTGTGCGCGGCGCACAGCTCTGGGTCGGCCTCCACCGCCAGGGTGCGCCCGCGCACGGCGCGCACCTCCCTGATCGCAAAAGCGTGGAGCGTTAGGGCGACGAGATCTGTACACATCCACCGCCGCTGGCCAGGCTCATCCCGGGCACAGGAGCGGCGTGGATGCGTCCCTGGCCGAGCCCAGAGGGCGTAGACACCAGCGCTCCTGACGATCTACCAGACCACTTCAAACCCGACCCCAAGACACGAATTTTGGGTTGGGGGGGGTACGGGCTTCACGTGCACTTTTTCAATGTCCCCCCCCCACACCACTGGGAACAGAGGGCACGCTGGGGCCTTCGGGTTGGCTTGGGGTGGTTTGGCTGGTGGTGAGCGCTTGCGCATGGCCAGCGCCGGTGGATCTGTACAGATCCCGTCGCCCCAGAGGGGGTCGTCGCCGACGCCGTCCGCCGCGCCCAGGTTGACGTACGACCCGCTCAGCGCCACGCCCGCAGCCCGCACGCGCGCCAACAGCGCGCTGCCGTTGAGCGCCGTGTCGCGGAAATCCGCCGGGCATCCGCTCGACGGCGGCGACGGGCCGCACGACGCCAGGGGCCTCTCGGATGGGGTCCATGCAGATGGGGGCTGGACGATCGCGCAGCATCGCCACGCATCGCCGATGCATCGGTGATGCATCGGCGGCGCCTGGACACCTGAGCGCCATCGGCGTCGGGAAACTCTGGCTCCACACCGAACCGCACCGGCGATGCGGAACGATCCTCCGACCCCATGTGCTCCGACCCCATCTGGGAGGCCTGGAAACTCTGGGGCGGCCATCGGCGGCCACCCGCAATCGGACGTACGGGGCGCACGGGGTGATCTTGCCAACGCACCTCTTACGCGAGGCCCTGGAGATGACCCGAGGTAGCCCGACGTGGCTTCTGGTGCCACCAGAGATGGCCACAAGAGGCCTCCAACTCCCAAGAACAGCCCCGAAGGGGAGGATAAGAACGGCAACGACGGCGACGGCGACGTCGCCACGAGGACGAGGCCGGGATCTACATGCACATCGGGAAGACCAAAAGGTACCCATACTGCTACTTCAAAGACCTCCCCCAGGGGGCACTCTGGCCAGAACCCCAAGGCGAATCCAGCGGTGGCGACGAGGGCCTCCCTGGAGGCCCTCGAAAAAGGAAGACGTGGGAAAGGCAACGGTCTCGGTACTCTTTGTCCTCCTCTGACACATACGGCGTGGGCATGTTTTACCTCTCTTCGCAAGCGCAAAGCGCCCCTGTCAAAATTCAGACATGCGCGGCGCGGGCGGGACTCCCGGGGCCAAGCCGCTCACGGCTACGGCTCGCCCTCCCGGGGTCCATTGCCCCCGCGCTCCGCCGCCGCGCGTTCTCGGCGCGGGCCTCGCGGCCCCCCGCCGCCTCCAGGGGCACGAGCCCGTGGGCCTTGGCCACGGCTTCAGCGGCGGCAGGATCAGCGTGCCGTCGTCCACTGACTACCTACCAGACCACCCCAACCCAACCAGAAGACCCGAATTTCGGGCTGGGGGGGGTCAGGGTTCCACACGTGTGTTTTCGATGTTTCCCGACCCCCCCCCCCACTGGAAATCGAGGGTAAATCTGAGCCTTCGGGTTGGGTTGGGGTGTTTTGGTGGGTGGTGATCCACGCCCCGGCGCGGCACCGCGCCCGTGCCCGGCCCGGGTCCCGCGCGAGCGGGCTCGGCAGCACGGGGCCCCCCCGCCGCCTCGGGGGGCCGCACCAGGGTGGGCCATCAGGTCGGGCCCCACAGCGGCGCCGAGTTTCCCTGCCCATCGCAGCCCCGTGGCCGCCGGGGGCAGCGCCGACTCGCCTCTGGCCTCCTTGGTGCCAGGCTGCAGGCGCTTGCCCAGGTCGTGCCGAGCTGGGGCCCGCGAGCCAGCTCCGACCCGCTGCGCGGCCCCGCTGCACTCAGCTCGGAGCCCCTTCTAGGCCATCCTGGGGGCTCGGGCGTATATGTAGCAAGCAGTGCAGACGAGGAAGGGCTCGGCGGCCTGGCTGAGCACTTGCCCTTCCATGAGCTGATTGATGCCCGTGGACCGCCCACGGACCCCCGCGGCTGCACGCTGGCGCAGGCGGCGCTGCCGCGGCCTCACTCCGCGGGGCCTGGCTCGCCGCAGGCTGGGTCTCGGTGAGCTGCTCTGCCGACGCCGTCGCTCTCGCCCGCTCCTGCTCCAGCTGCAGCTTGCGTGCGACGCGGCGCATGGCGTTACCAGCAGACTCGCCCGCGGGGGTCAGCTGGTCCGCTGGGGCGCTGGCCTGCTGGGCCGCGGCAGGCCTCTTGCGGATCGTCGCGCCTCGGCCGCCATGTTGGCCCGAGCCCAGGGAAGGCGGACCGCTGTCGATCGGCTCCCGGAGCAGTGGGCACTGCGATCGCACGATGGAGAAGACATGGAGAAGTGCAGGGACGAATCCACTCGACCAGGCTAGTGAGGATGCGCGGTGAGGATGCAAGGGCCCTGGAACGCCATGCTGACGTTTTCCGTGCGGAGCGCAGCAGAATGCCGAAGGACGCCGAATACCGAAGGGGCAAGGATGCAGGGGTAGCCTTGGAAAGTTGCCCCATCCTTGCTATCATGGTTGAATGTGCAACAAAATGTTGTTCCTCGTCCAAGTTGAAGGGGAACTGGGACACACAAATAAATACACATAGATAAAAGTATCCCCTATATTTTCTAATCTTTTCTGGGTTTTTGTCTTCCCCCCCACTCCCCATATTTTCCCATATTTTCTGGCAATCGCCGATTAATTGTGTCTGTGTGTTTTTTCCCCTCCTGACAAGTCGCTGGCTGCGGTCTGGTGGCCTCGACGGCGCAGACGACGGCGAGTCCGGAATAGTGTTCTAACCGTCCCCTCTCCCAGGTGGGGCGCTACGGCACACCCCCAAACGATTCATTTGAACGAAGGATTTTTTGCAATCCTTCGATTGAACGAAGGTTTTTTTGCAATCCTTCGTTCAAGAAAGGGTTTTTTTGCAATCCTTCGTTTTTTTGCAATCCTTCGTTCGTGTGAGCCCCAGCCTGGGAACAACGGAGCCATACCTCCCCTGGGGGCTGGCAGCATGGCGCGCAAGCCCCTGGGCATAGCCGGGCTCCCTCGGAGCGGGGTCCCAGAAGGTGCCGGCGCGGTATCGCCGCGCCTTCCTCGCCAGGGGGGCAGGAAAAATCGTCGGCAGCCGTGTCACCTCTTCGTCGCCGTCGCCGCCGCTGTCGCCGCCACCACCTCCGCCGTGGTCGCCGTCATCATCCACAGGCCGTCTGGACCAATGCTGTCCCCCACCTTGGCGTCGTCGCTGCCGCCCTCGTCCTGGGGTGGAAAAACCCTGGGGGGGGGAAAAACCAGGGGGTGGGGGTGAACAAAAACTCCGGGGGTGAAAAAAACCCGGGGGTGAAAAAAAACGGGGGTGAAAACCCCCCGGGGGTGAAAAAAAAAACCGGGCTTTTTCGCCCTCGTCCTCGTAGCCGCCGTACCTGGGGGGAACAAACAAATGCGGATACGATCAGGGCGCAGAGACGACTCTGGCCGTGGCGACGAAGGAAGTGGCAGCGGTATCGGTATATGTTCCTCCTCTGGGTCCTCGTCCTCGTCCTCGTGCTCGAATCGGGGAGACGCGTAAGACTTGAAAGTCAGTGTGACAAAAAAACTGGGTCACTCAAGTCGGTTTCACGGGTTTGGAACATGCTGCGTAGTTGGCGGATTCCGAAAAATTGGAAATTCTGCGCGCGCAATTCGGGACAACAATTGGCGAAACGCGCACGCGAGCACGTAAATGCACGCGCGCGCACATCCGGTAAGAGTTCGGAGACGCTCTACTCGCGACTCCAGCCAGAGGTGCGCGCGCTCTGCGAAAAGCAACAAAAAGGAGCGCGAACGCGCCGAGTTCGCAAAACAAATGCTCAGATTCACGCGCGCTCTCATTCCGTAAATTTTGGAGACGATCCACTCGCGACGCCAGCCAAATGCGTGCGCTCTCTAACGGGCACCACACAGAAAAGCGCGACGCCGCCGAGTTCGCAAAACACGCGCATACATTCACGCGCCCCACGCAAATCCTGGAAATCCTGGAGGCGTTGCAGCTGCAACGCCGGCAAGAGGGGCACGCGCTCTACGAAGCGCAACGCAAAGGAGCGCGAGGGCGCCGAGTTCGCGGAGCGCGCACGAAAGTGCACGCGCGCACGCACACGTCGCAGATTGCGAGGACAAGGCGCCCAGGAGGCCCCAAGAGGCCGCCAAGAGAACCCCTATGAGTCGGGGATGGACAGACCCCCCTTTAGTAAAACGTGGTTTAGTGAAAACGACCTGAGGCCCAAACCTGGCGGGCGCAAGCCTGGAAAATAACGGCCACGGCGCCCTCTCGAGAACCGAAAACGGACAATTCACTAATCGACGTGTCACTGTTGGGGGTTCTGTCCACCCCCGAATGAGGCCCAAGAGTAACCCCAAGAGGCCCCAAGAGGCTCCCGAGAGGCCCCCCCCCACGAGATCCCAGCGAACATCCACTGGGCTGCACGCCCAGAGCCCAGACACGGTGGCGGGATGGGCCGAAAGGCCATTCGAAGACTTGTGGGAGAACGAAGAGAGCGAGCTGCATAAAAGGGTGCACACATAGGAGCGGCCGATCGCGAAGATCGCACGAATCGCGCGCAAAGTCCACAGACATGTATGTCTAAGCTCAGGCTTTCTCGCCACGCAGCGAGCGGCGGGGGGGGGTCGCAGGGGGCGCGCGCGCGCATTCTGCGCGGGCGGATCATGCACCAGCGCTACAAATTGCCCGACGAGCCGGGGCAGCCTCGCAGGGGAACGCTCGGCTGCGCAGTTCGAACAGAGGGTGCGCCAATCTGCGGGCGCGCGCAATATTCGCGCACATCGCAAAATGCCGGATGAGAAAAGCGCCCTCGCACAGCACTGGGCGCACGAAGAGGACGCGGAGAATATCTCGCATCTTGATTTTTGACACTGGCAGCCCTGCGTAGCAGTGCCGGCCGCGGCGCGCGCGCAGAGCGCCTCTAACTCCACGCGAGCACGTGGAATCCGCGCTGACCGTACAATCCCAGCTGAGTAGAGGCGCCCTCGCCGAGGATGGAGCGGCCATGGCAGGCAGAGGGCGCGCGCAAAAAGTCGCGCG